ATTTCATACAAGAAACTTTAATGCCACGAGGGACTTCCATCTGACCTGGCAAACATTCGCTATAGTAATTTAATTTTTCACTCACGCAGCTCTCTCTTGTCCGATTTCATAGCGATTCGTAAGCGTTTCAATATTTACCACGATCTATATTTAAACTCGCCGTCGAATCGTCTGATAAAAATTCCAGAAATTTCACTCGCATCAAATAATCACTTTGTCGAACATTCGCGAAACGCTATATATTTAACTTTGGAATTTTGTCGTCGGTTGTCGACGCGTGTACGTCCCGATTAGGCGTACGTATATTCAATACAGGTGCAACGATAAGTATATCTGGCAAAAGAGTATTTTAGACCAGGAGCATCGACACCGACAGCGGCAACGTCTGAGCTGCTTCAAAGGAATTCTGAATGAACATAACGTATAAATTGACGTATTTTTTTTTCATAGATCGTCAAATTACACCTGAAGGAAACACGTTAAAATTTCTACTTATCGATAACTAAATAAAAAACTTGAACGGACCAGTCGTTTCGGTTCGTCTTTCTGGAACCCACTTCAGGTATTGACCGATAAACGTCCACTTAAGTAGAGAAACACAATAAAAAGGCCCGTACAATCCCGGAAACCAATAAAAATATAAAGTAAAGATAATAAATAGGTATTCGCGAATTTCTGCCGAGTTATTATTGTTCTCGCGAAAAAGGAAGGCTTGAGAGGAAGTTTTCCCAAGAAAATTCACCGAGTTCGTGCTTCAAAGCAACGATAAATAATAACATTTACCATGAGTCGACGAACCGAGCCTCGTGAGGGCCTGGCCCTCCCTGCACCAAACTCTGAGCATGCACTTCAGCAGCTCTTCCAAGGCTTTCTTCAAGGACACATCTGTTCCTAGTTCCGTGGAACACTCCGAGGCCACGCAATCGCACACCATCGCGTCAAGGACCGACGCGACGATCTCGACGTGAAGTTAACGCGTCTCTCGTGACTGCTGATTCGGATGAAGAGAGAAGAAGAAGAACGGAAAAGCCCGATTTCCGGTTTAGCGTGCGCGATATAGAATCGACGGAAACCGCGCGGTATCTCCAGGGACGATTGCACCGATTCGCGTCCCAAAACGTGGGAGTCGAGGCTCAATTTTCCGAAGAGGATGCCTTCGGTCGACTCTTGGAATGCGACTCGCCGCCCTGACCCACTGACTGTCAGCCAAAAGCTTCTACTTCCACTCGCCACCCTTCTGCCCCACCGCGTCCCACCGTCGCCCTCGACTAAGCGGGACTGCAATTCGACTTAACATCTCACGAGATATTCGGACGACCGCGAATCGTCTTTTCACGTACAGTGTGTAAAAATGTATCAACTATTCACCCTAGAATTGGGAGCATTTCACGAATTTTTCCTTGTATCGAATTTCTTTTTTAAATTCGATCATCTTTCAAATGTACAGTGTTCGAAAAAGGTATCAACTATTCACCCTAGAATTGAGACTACTTCGAATTTTTCTTTATGTTTGTATCGTTCCGCTCGACGCTCGCTAATTGTTATTATTTTAACGTTTTATCGGTGTTATCGATTACGTCGACAGCCGAAACGATTGCATTTTCTAGAAACAATTCGCCTATTCTAATCAAGCAACGACCTATTCGTCACGCGCGCCTGGTGGACGCCGATGGCGTAGAAGCGTCGGTACCAGCCGACGCTCGGCGTCTTTCTCTCAGCTGCGGCGTTTCGATTATATTTAGCCGGAGTATTACGCGGTACTTATTTAAAGAAACGGGAAGAACGGACTCTCTCTTTTTTCCTCTCCGCGTCTCCGGTGCGCTCGTCTTTCTTCCGCTCCACCTTTGAGCACGTTTTCCACCTCCGTCACGGAGCGTGACCCCTTTCCGCTTTCTCTTTTCGATATGGGTCTAACTGATTGCGAGCGATTTCTTTGCTGGCGTGTTCGGCTCCGTGGAATTCTTTGACGATGAGGTGCCCCGCGATTGAGTGAATTTTAGTTACACCAGCCTGTCTGTCGGGGTGATGGAATTCCGACGTTCGGGCGCAACGTAAATGTAACGAGTCGTTGATCATTTGAGAGCGCATTTTAGAAAAAAAAAAAAAATATGGCTATAAATTGATTAAGTAATTTGATCGAGGTAATTAAATGTTGGAATAAGTTGCGGTACCACGAGGTTCTGGAACTGCAGTGCCACGCGTGATGAATCGAGCGGCCACAGAGTATGACCCACTAATGGGTCAAGCCGACGTGAATGTGTTAATAATATAACAGTTTATTGCGCGTTACTCCTACGAGTTTCTGCAAGAGACTGACTGGCATCTGCCAGCTCCTTTCATCGTCAGTTTTACAACAGAAACGTCGTTGAATTTTCCGCTTTCTTCTAAAATCTTTCGACAATTTAACCTCTTCGAAGACGAGTTCTATCTTCGTATTTCTTCATATTCCGTCTTCGTTGTCTTCAAGTCTAGACCTCGTTAGCTTTGTCGCGCAACCTTACCTGGATCTATTCTGGCTACAGAAATTCAAATGTCTCGATACACCGCGGGAAGTGATTCGAAAATTTCCATATACGAAGGATGCTTATCCCCTGCGAATATTTCAAAGCATGCCGATAGCGAGTCAACATACGTATGCGTTATCTATAAAATGCTATCTAGATAGAGCGTGTTTTCCGAATGAAGTGATCGTTTTATCAATTAAAGAGACCACGTTTTCCGTGTTCAAATATGTTCGATAATATCGTACGACATTTAGACTGCTTTTACCCGAGGCATTAAATTCTAGAATAAGAAGAACAAAAACCGCGATCAAAAGTATTCATCTTAATTAAATTCCTCGCGTGTTCCATTAATGCGTCCCTTTCAGTTTCTCTTTACCCGAAAAATGTCGACTTATTGGAGTGACGTATCGCGCGCAATTCCGCTTTTCTGACACAACCATCGCGGCAGGTATGTCTACACGCAAAACGTAGTGTGTAACATGCAACATCTTCGGAGGATTGTAAATGCTCGTCGGAAGCACCACGTCTGAGAGCATAAATTTAGTGGCAGCTTTATAGCTGTTATACATATATCGCAAGACGAATTTAGCGAGTATTTATGCAAACATAGAGACACATTCTCCGCGTACTACGCAAAGAATGCCGTGAAAATTTCTACACCCTCCATCGATTATTTCATATCGTCTAATTTCTTTGTCGCCAACGGGTAAAGTCTGTTAATCTTTCTAATTAATTTGTAGAAATTCGTTAATAATTCAAGTAGTTAATAACAGGTTACGTCACGCGCGATACGTTTCGAATGGCGCAAGCTACAATTTGTACATTTCTACGTGGCAGAAACAGCAGATAAATTTCATTCGTTAATGCAAAGCGAAACCAAATGTTTCCACAAGAAAGTGAAACAGCTCTTCATTTAACTCTCATTGCGAAACGAGCTATCGAGTTTATTTAATTGTTGGTACAACGGAAAAGCAATCGATTTTATGCGAGCTACACTCGATTTTAAGTGCAGCAGTCACTGTTAAATATAGTGCGTAAAGTGGAATGTATTTAAAACGCTGATTCTTGTTCCGAAACGATCGATGTACCATTTCAGCATTGTCGGGTATGTTTTAGCGAAAGCTTTTACAATTTTTCCTGGCGACTTTTCGTTATTAGTGACATTTGGTTACTTTTAAATTTGCGCAGTAGAAAGAAACAAATAATTCAGTGTCCGAAATGTTATTCTTTCTGTTTTATTTCAAACTGTTTCTGACCAGATCTGTTTACTTCTTTTCTCTTCTTTCTACCCTATAAATTGGTGAGATCTGTAATTTCTAAATTTTTCTTACAGGAAAAATAAACAGTAGGATATGCCGCTTCATTGCGATGAAAATTTACTTGTACTCGTAGAGGATGAAAAACATGCAACTGAAATTATTTATAAATCTATAAAAGTCATTCACGCATTAGTTTATTGTTACGAAGGTTGGTTATTTTAATGTCTATAGAACTAATTATCAACTTATCAATAATAGCCATATGTTGTATAGGGAAATAATAAATCGATTTATCTAAGCCCTGGCAGCAACCTTGATTACAGATATTTTTATATACTGAAACAATTTTTCTATCCAAGTTTATCTGCTATAATCGAAACGAAAGAGACTAATTCCAGAGAATGCATTACAAAACTTCAGATTTATTATTGTTTAACTATAATTTGCCAAATATGTATCCTATTCGAATATGAATTCTGGTATGCGAAATTATTATAGTGATGCCATCTAGCGTATCAGCACCTGGACAACTAGAAACTCGTCGAGGAGGATATATTTGACACGATATGTTTCTCACATGGCTCGCAAACCTTACTCATAAAACTCCTCGAGCAACTAAAAATATGCAAAGTACGTCATTTTATCGTTTGGGCGTTCCCGAAACAACTTTTCAATTTATACAAAAATAAAAGATCATTTTTTACATTTGTTAAACTTTCTTTGTTAATCGTAAACCGTGGGAAGACTGTCTAAAACGTCTGACCCAGTGCGACTCGCGATTCTATCCGGAACTAATCTTTCCATCCCCTACACGTACCAGCGAGCAATGTAAAACTCCCGCCACCGCGGAGTGCACTTCGCGCAAGCAAGTGTGCCACTTAAGAGCTTAATACATTCTTGCGGTATAATGAGGTGTTTTGTCTCCTGTAAACTACCTTGTATATCGTTAAGGAATTTTCGGTGCATTAACCCCTTCGCGTCAGCACCTAGTCGCAACGAACGTCGTTTCTTTCTCTTAACCCGCGTCAGCTTGTACTATCTCGAATACAATGAAATTCTAAAAAGAAAATACGTATATCCATCGAATTTACGTTCGTATTGGAAAATTGTTTACGAGAACGTAGAAGATAAAGAATCGATAAATTATTTCTTACGATTGAAGCTAGTGTTTGTCGAAAACGAGTGGCACGAGGGGGTTCAGATAGAAGAAAAAGAAGAGCGTCGTCCAGTAACTTACCGAAACTATTAGTCTGTATCCTTTTATACATTTCCCCGCTGCTTTTTCGATGCACCATCCTGTGCGTCGCCGCCTGATACTTCTTCCGAAAGTTTCTCTCGCTTTCCGTCGATTCCTGAGAACTTCTCCTCTCTTTGACGATACTTTCCGGAACCTCCTCGCCGCCGTCTCTGTTGTCTGGCCTCCTCCACGCATGGCTTTCCTCGAGGTCGCCGATGTAAATCCATTCGCTGCTCGTGTACGGCTCCACGTAGCTGTCCTCGTCTTCGCGACCTGCCATTTTCAACGAAGAGACGAAACGCTGAGCGCGTGAGATCAACATGGAATTTTCTGGTCAGTTTAAAAGGCTGATAGGATCCGTATGCCGGAGGGAATATTCTTATAGAATAAAAAAAAAACCGAATATTGCTATCGAAATATTTTCTGAAACACGTCTGGGTGAACTTTCAGTTCCATTTTTGATACCTTCGCGTCTTTAGAAGCGGCTCGAACCATGAAAACGACACCGCTTTGGGTGCTTCGAAAGGCTCGGTACGCGGTACCTTTAAAGATTTCTACTTGTTGCGTCGCAAATTAAGCAGGCAAACGCTACGAAGATTTTCAAACGGGAGGCATAATTTGGCTACGTGAACAAAATTTGTACGCGTTGTAATCGCGTTGTATTAATATTGTATTATACGTTATCATGTCGTATTACATTTCGCTAGGTATGCGATCTTATTAGAATTCTAAAATAAAAATCGTCTTCGTTCGAAGTAAATTGAAAAGCAAAAAAATGTATCTTTCTCAACGCTGTATTCTACCACGTCATAAAGAGCGGGGCAACTAATCTTCTTAAAGAAAGATAAATAGTAACGGGAAAGCGTGTAAAACTTTTTCTCCGTGACGGCCGAGCTCCACTCAATTTTTCAATCGCGTTTCATTATGTAACTTTTTACAAGGGTGGTGCTTGCCCACCTTTATTACGCTCGTTCCGCAATACTCCGTACATCCATTTCACCGTGGAACGCGTTTTCCACCAGATATGAAGGCTGTTAATGAAGTTTATGCATCAGAACTTTTTAAACGTCTTTTTTACGAGGCGCCGCGCACAAGTTCTTATTACAATGTTTTATGCGCGTTACGAGAAACGGGGAGAAACGCATCCTTGCGGAGAGTTTGAGTAGCAACTAACCACTCCGAATTAGTGAAATCTGAAATTTGCATCTATATAGCACGCGAAAGGATTAACACGTGGACCGCCACGTCACCCACTTATGGCTGACAACAAATTTTCACCGAGGAAGTAAATAAATTTATTCTGAAAGCGAGACGTCGAAGAAAATTAATTTGGATAGGATTGGTAAATCCTAAACAGGTTGCAATCTTAATTTGACGCAATTGAAACTTTCGTCTAACCTGTGAGAATTTCCAAACTGATATCCGTGCTTCTGGCTTGAAGCCTCTTCCTGCCCGCAGCGGTTTCGTCGATGGATCCTCTGCTTCCTCGTCTGGGGGCAGCTCTTTCTTCCGATTTCGCCCTAACGTCCGATCTGCTCCCGCGTCGGTGCCTTCTGTCGCCTCGATCCTCCGATCGATACCTCTTGTCGAACTTCTTGTAGAGCCTGTGCCCGGATACATGCTTCGAGGACGCCCTGTACCCTTCCGGGGAGTCCGCGAAACCTGCTGGCGGTCGAACGATCTCTTCCGAGACCTCGAGGTGGAGCAACATGACGGCACGCACGATAGAGAAAAGAGGTAGATAGACCGACAGATAGAGAGATAGATCGATCGGAATTTCGAGATTTTAAGATTGAAAATCTTTTTATTTTCGAACAATCGAAATTCTTGTCCCGTTACATGGTGAAAAATGCTGTGAGGCGATGAAATGGGTGGGTAACAGAATAAATATGTTCCGTTACACAGCTGTAAGAATTTACAGATACGTGGTAACTCTCGCTTGTAAGAATTTTAATCAACATTTGCGAAACATCGATTCGTCCATTTTGTTTAATCGGCATGGACAAACCGAGACCGATCCATACTAATAATTACGTCAAGCGTGAGTATTTTAGCAATTGAAATAGCGTTTATTTAATTCATTTTATTTGGTTTGATTAAAATTGATTGATAAACATCATTCATGTTTTCAGAAACTACCGATAGCACACGACAGAAAACACGAAGACACGGTGAAAAATAAAAGAACGATAAAATTTGAAATAAAGATCGTAGTATTAAACTCGACGAGTAAAAATTTTAATCACCCACTCATCCTACGCACAATAAGGATCACTTTCAGCTGTCGATTCCATTTCATCCCTCTAGCTGAACAGGAAAAAGAACAGGAAAAAGCGCAGTCTCCATACATATGGAAACGGACGTACTAGATTAAGTTTCTTACAAGCAGGCATTATCGAATCCAGATTTTTCTGTTTCACTGCAGCTATCAATATCATTTACTTTGTTGTACTTGAGATTTTCAAGTCACTGTTTGGATAAAAGGCGGGGCTCGATAAATTACAGAAATAGAAAGGAAGGAAGAAATTTCAGACTGAAGCCACAACTAACTACACTATGAACTACAGTCTTTAATCATTACCGTTTCATGTACTACAAGTCTTTCAAATTATGATAGTTCTGAACGTGTAATCAGTTCTACTACAAAAAAAACTACTTCGTGTACCGCTACCACCGATCACTTCGCGTCTGCGAGCACTCGTATCTTACTTTTCAGAGAAAGAATTTAATAAACAATAAATAATTTACCTCTCTGCCACAGTGATGGCATTGCAGGGCCTCGAGAGCGCTAACAGCGAGGCATTGGTCCGTGGCCTCGCTGTAAAAGACACTGTCGCTTCCTGGACTGACAGACCTCAAAGACTCCGCTGAAAGAGCTTTCAATCTTGCTTCTGGGCTCTGTGCCTCCACAATCATGGCTCGTTGTCCGTTGTGTCCTGGACTGCGTTGATAACGGCCGGGACTCAGCCTCGAACACATTATGTCGTCCGCCGCGCGTGATCTTCTTCGAGGCAGGCTACCTGTTATGGCTGCGTTCTTGTCCTAAATAGGAATCACGAAACTTTGTTCTCGTATCGTCCCAATACGGTGCTTGTACCTCTTGTTCGAGAAAGCACTTTTATACACGGTAACTTATTTTCCCTTGTTTTCGAAGGTTATCAACCGTTTGAGTACCAAGGAGCGATATATTGCTGCTCGACGCTGCAAGTGTTATAACTCGTTAAAAAATCAATTTTGCTTTACAAAAATAACGTCAATATCTAACGCACATAGAGTATTGTGGCATTTTAATATTATGTAAAAATGTCACCTACCTCAAAATCAAATTGATCGAAATATACATTTTCGTTTACAATCATGTATCTTTGCTTAAAATTGTCTGGCATTTCTCAGATACGTATGAAAATTTCCTCTGGCACTCAAAGGGTTAAATTCTACCATTTTTCGAACTATTCCTGACAACATCTACTCACCTCGTTACTCCTCCTTCTGGCCGACACGTAGCCGCTGGTCTTCTTTCTCGGACTCTCTCTGGTCCTCCTGTGCCTCGCTCCATCGGCGCCTTCGCGATGCAGATGATGATGATGGTGATGATGCATATAATAATGATGACTGCAGCTGGAGTCATCCGACGTCGGGACGTGGCCACCGTCTTCGATCGGTTCTACGCGCCAGTCCTCCTTTTGGGGGCTCCTCGGGATTTGTTGTTGCGTTTGCTGTTGCATTTGCATCAACTGCTGAGTCGTCTCGCGTTTCCTGTTGTTTCTGTGAGAGCTCCTGGCGTTCGTCGATTTGCATCTTATTCTGTGACGATGACTCGGCGTCGGGCTGACCTCAGCATTGTCCGCGTAGAGCTCCGCGCTGCGTTCAGTTTCCGCAGCGCTACCCAAAAAGTCGAGAGTGAAGTTTCTTCGACGCTCCTCTTCGCTACAGGCGCGCATATCGGGAGGCGATTCGGCGTAACCCCCCGAGGAGGAACGGTGACCTTCCTGAAAATGAAACAGGAAAAGGGTACGAAATGAAACGAAGTTCAAGAAATTGTATCGAAGCAGCGATTATCCAACGGAAATCCAAGTAAATTCGTAAAGGTAATCGTAAGCGAGTCAATTGACCTAATTGAGATGGGCTTCGCCCTATGTCACGGTGCAAGTACAGTTAAAACGTCATCGAAGCTGCTCGAAAATTGGATTTCGCGAAATTTACAACCTTCTTCCAACTCGTAAATAGATCATGACTTTGAATGAAAGAAATTCGCGAGTATTCAGGTGAACTCTATTCGCAGGGTGATTGGAATTAGTTTAATTATCGTCTTACGTCACGATCCAGCTCCGTTTCTGAGGTGTGTCCGCTCAGAGGTGCAGTCTGCTCGAGTTCCTGACCCAGATCTGTCATCGCATCGTTCATGTCGTAACTGCCTGAACTGCTGCTGCTGCTGGACCTCGCGGGTGACGGTGGCACCTCCAATCCGAATGGAATTTCCGTTTCCTCCAGTATCGGTGGCGGACTGCATGGCTCTTCAACGACAGCCTAACTCGGAATACCACGGAATTTTATCCTCGCGGTCTGACACATTCGCACGGGAAGTTGGGCAATCGATACGTTCCAACAAATCCGAGCGAGTCGAAAATAATACTAACGGAAGCTTTGAAGAAAAAGTTGAAAACATTTTTTTCAGAGAACATTGAAAGAATGTAAGTTATTTGATTTTTTGTTAGCAGTAGAGTGGCAGTTTAGTTGGAAAATGTCTCTTCGAAAATGATCGACTACCTTCGAGTACTATTAATTTCCACTAATCGAATGCGATGTAGAACGAATTTTTGGAAGAATACATTAAGCGTGCTTTTTGCGAAATCTTTTTCATTGCGAATATTTCACCACGTTGGTAGTACGAAGAACATCGTACTTATCGATCATAAAGGACGATATGATAAATAGAACTGTGTCACGCCAATATTATACTTACGAGCCAGTAAAAATTTTACTATACGTGCTGCCCTGATTCTTCCGGTTTCTTTATTTACGCTCGTGTATTTGATATTCGACGAATAGTAGACATGTATTCATTGGATATATACGCGCTACAAATATCTCAGATTGCGTCCCGTATTCAGGCATAAGCAAATACCATGCAAAGCTCTATTTGAAAACGTGAACTCGGATTGCTGCTTCGCGAGGGGCAAATAATAACGTAACATACGAACCATATGAATGTTTTTACATATGGCTCTTGATTATTTAATGTAATGCGATTCCTGTTCGCGCATTTTGCAACGAGATGAGGACGAGTGCAAAAGGTTAAAAATAAAAATAAACCTGGAACTACTCTGATATCTGGAGTCGAACGAAGAAAAAGGATGCTCATTGCTGCAGTATTTAGCTTCGCTAATTGGATATTATAAAGGGAAGGCTATTGACCCGGAAATCATTACATTACAAAGAACTCGAATATTGGGAGAATAAAAGCATCCGCTAAGGGAAATTGTTCGACGAATTTAGTCTTTTATCGACTGGCAACTAGAAATTATTTCGCCAGAAAGAATTAGCTCACCTCGCTGCGCGCTAAGCTGTAAATGGAACTCGCGCTTTCGAAGGAGCTTCCTTCCGCAGCGGTTGCAGTCGCAGAGACCGACGCCGCGGCGCTCGACGTCTGCGGGGGCCTCGACCAGGAACTGGTCGTTGCGGAGGTGCCGGTTGTGGTCCCAGTCTCGGTGGATGTGTTGGCAGTGACGTAGTCCTCGGTGGTCGAGGTCTCGGATAGGTCTGTGTTCGTTCGACCACCCGAATCCGTTCGCGCTAAGCTTAAACCGAACTCGCTGGACGATTGCGACTGCGGCTGCGACAACGGCGGTCCAGGACTCGGACGACGGAATCCGCTTCTTGATCTACCGTTGCTCGACGTTACGGACGATTCGACGCTGAGAAGTAATTGCCTTTAAAAATCGCTTCGAGTTTTACACGGAGTGTCACTACCACGGGGCCGAAGGTTCAGCCGTTCGTTGGACGAATTGATTGACTCCGTAAAACAAAAAGTTGAGAAATGCGATGAAATAATGTACGTTGTTTTTTAAAATTCCCTGTATAATATGAATTCAAGTAAATATTGTAGAATGGATAAATACAGATGTAGCTTTCATTAATCGGTATATAAATTTAATAAGAAAGAATAGCCAAAAAATAATCGTTCGTAATGTAACAATTCTTATATGACCAGTGGAGTTAATCGATTTGTCCAGCGAACGGCTCAGATGATGAATGACTCGATCGAACGATGATTGTTAGTAGCATGATTCACCAAGAATGTACCGATTATTTTTCTTGTACTATGGTGTCTTGTTTGTAGTCAACCGCCCAGTATTTTAGTATTTCGGTAAGCGGTGTAACTAAGTCGCAAGCACCGATGAAATTTTCAAACTTTCTCGAGGCATACTTGAGCAATTAACGCAAAGCGTACGATTTCTTACCTTGGTGTCAGCGGCGGAACAGGCGTCACAGGCTCCAGGCGCACTCTTGGACTCGGTGGTCGCGACTCCATCATTTCCTCGGTATCCAACGCCTCGGTGTCCATCGAGGAGCGTTGTTGGTGCTGGAGAAGCAGAAGGTGTCTCCTCCTCGAGGATGGTGTCAGAAGAGCCAACGAGTCTGCCTGGAGAACCGTCGCCTGTGACTCGTTCCAAATTCCATCGCTATGGTCCCTCGTTACGTCGTTGGTTAAGGAGTCGCTCGAGGCGAACGGTGACGTGATCAGACCGGAAATCCCGGTTACAGGACTGAAAAGTAACGGGCAAGTTTGTCCAGGTTGCCGCAGTAGGTGCGACGGCGACGAATAGTCTCTGGGACCCTCCAGAATCCTTCGTGGTGCTGGAATATCGGAAACAGCGGCGACGTTTTAGATACAA